TCTCGTGCCTCAGCCTCCCAAGTAGCTGGGACCACAGGCGCCCGCCACAACGCCTGGCTATTTTTTGGTTGTAGCCATTATTGTTGTTTGGCGGGCCCGGGCTGGATTCAAACCCGCCACCTTAGGTGTATGTGGCTGGCGCCTTAGCCGCTTGAGCCACCATTAACTTTTAACAAGCTCTCATAACCTACTTTGCAGGGTGAAGATATTGGCTCTCTTGCCCCACCTCTCATATATCCATCTCAAAGGATCATGAGAGGTGGAAAAAGGGTAGAGGAGTAAAGGATTCTTTTAAAGAAGGAGGAATGTTGAGCCTGCCTTCCTGTCTGCTTGGAGGCAGATGGTCCCTTAAAGGACATTCCATGAAAATAGAAAAACAGATAAAAACATCAGCATCAGGCTTGGTCTGAACCAGTCCATATATATCTAATCCATGGAGAAAGATTTGAGAAAGGGAATGTTGATTAACTGGGGATTGATTTGGAGTTCTTTACCATTCTGTCCTAGTAGAGATGAGTCCAATAAGTCCTTTATTTATTTTTTATTTTATTATTTATTTATTTTTTGAGACAGTCTCAAGCTGTCACCCTGCGTAGAGTGTCATGGCATCATAGCTCACAGCAACCTCCAACTCTTGGGCTCAAACAATCCTCTTGCCTTAGTTTTTCTTTTCTTTTCTTTTTTTTTTTTCTTTTTGAGACAGTCTCATCATGTTACCCTCAGCAGAGTGCCATGGTGTCATGGCTCACAGGGACCTCAAACTCTTGGACTTAAGCAATTCTCTTGCCTCAGCTCCCAAGTAGCTGGTACTACAGGCACCCACCAAAACACCTGAATATTTTTTTGTTGCAGTTGTCATTGTTGTTTAGCTGGCCTGGGCCAGGTTCGAACCTGCCAGCCTCAGTGTATGTGGCTGGTGCTATAACCACTGTGCTGTGGGCGCCAAGCCAAGTTTTTATTTATTTATTTTAGAGACAGAGTCTCACTTAGTCTCATCCTAGGTAGAGTGCCATGGTGTCACAGCTTACAGCAACCTCCAGCTCTTGAGCTTAGGTGATTCTCTTGCCTCAGCCTCCCGAGTAGCTGGGATTACAGGCACCCGTCACAACACCTAGCTATTTTTTTGTTGCAGTTTGGCTGGGGTTGGGTTTGAACCCACCACCCTCGATATATGGGGTCGGCGCCTTACTCATTGGGCCACAGGTGCCACCTGAGCCAAGTTTTTCTATTTTTAGGAGAGATAGGGGTCTCACACATTGCTCAGGCTGTTTTCGAGCTCCTGAGCTTAAGCAATCCACCTGCCTCAGCCTGCCAGAGTGGGAGGATTACAGGCGTGAGCCACCTCACAGGCCCTATTTATTTTTCTGTGAGACCGTCTCACTTTGTTACACCTGGTAGAGTGCTGTGGTGTTATAACTCACAGTAACCTCAGACTCCTGGGCTCAAGTGATTCTCTTGCCTTAGCCTCTTGAGTAGCTGGGATTACAGGTGCTTGCTACAACACCTGGCTATTTTTAGAGATGGGGTCTCACTTTTGCTCAGGCTGATCTTGAACTAAGCTCAGCTCAGGTGTTCTGCCCGCCTCGGCCTTCCAGAGTGCTGGGATTACGGGCGTAAGCCACTGTGTCCAGCCCCCTAATAAGTCCTTTAATAGAGGCTGGTAGAAGGTTATTTGCCTACAATCTTTTGAGGTGATGAGAAGTGAGAAGCCAGTGTTAAGTGGTAGTATCCCCTCCCCACAGAGTGCTCTGCAGACATGTATTTAACTGCTCAGTCATACACACGTGTGTGTACACCTTGTCTGTCTTCTCCAGCTGCTGCTCTGCCCTGACCTGTAATAACCCTTCATGCTTAGACAGGATTCCCTACTTTGCTGGAGGCGAGCTGCTAGGGTGGGGCAGGAGAGGCCTCTTCTATTTCCCCTCCAGTCTGTCTGGAAAGAGAGTTTAGGCTCCAGGTTGAAGCATGGCGCCTCAGTTGTTTGATTATCCTTGAAGGCCAAAGGAACCATTTGACATTAAAGGTTTGAATTCTCTTATGTCATTTATTTTCTTATTTCTCTGACTTACAAGGGGAAGGGTGGTGAACCCAGGACTCATTCCTCCTTTTTCTTTTGTAGTCCTTTCATTTTCTTTTTCTTTCTTTTTTTTTTTTTTTTTTAGAGACAGAGTCTCACTTTGTCGCCTTTGGTAGAGTGCCATGGTGTCACAGTTCACAGCAACCTCCAACTCCTGGGCTTAGGCGATTCTCTTGCCTCAGCCTCCTGAGTAGCTGGGACTACAGGTGCCTGCCATAAAGCCTGGCTATTTTTTGTTGCAATTTGGCTGGGGCCAGGTTCGAACCTGCAACCCTTGGTATATGGGGCCAGCACCCTACCACTGAGCCGCAGGCGCCGCCCAGTCCTTTTACTTTCTTTAGAATGGCTACCCTTGAAGATATATTTTCTTTGCATTCAAAAATGATTAAATTGATATTAAAGACCATATCTGGATTTAGGTTTTGGAGAATTTCTTTCTGTTGTATAAGTTGTCAAAACAATCTAACCTTATTCCTTTGAATACCTCCTTTTCTCCATGACTTGCTTCAGATCCAAGCTCTCCCCAAGTCCCTGAGAGGCCAACAGGGAGGCCCAGCTCCAGTCTGGTAGTTTCTAGTGGCAGAGCTGCTTATATCAGAGATGAGTCTGGCTTTCTTGCATCTCTTGCCATTGTCTGGTTCCTTCAGGAATATTGGCTGCTAGATGGGGAAGTCTGTTTAGTGGTGAAATCCTCTGAATACTGTAATGTGGGGTTCTCAGCTGAGCCCTGGAGTTCCTCTTTTGTCTGTGGGATGGACAACAGAAGTGAGAATATCCTTACCTGACTTCCTTGTGCCAGTAATAATCCCAATTGTAATTAACTGAACTAGGCATCTGCTAAATTTCCTAATAAAGTTTTGAGATGTTGTGGGTAGGAGAATGTCTGAACTTTATTTCCTTTGAAAGTTTTTAAAAGTGGATTTTCAGAAACTTTTAGTGACTTGGAAGTTTCTGGATTAGAGGAAAAGTGAAAGATGTGCCAAGCATACAGAGATTGAGAAAAAGAGTTGGTTGTATAGTATGATTAAGACTATCATGTGAGTCTTTAAGCAGACATAAAAGGTAGTGGTTCCAGCTGAATTACAGTGATCCTCTGATGAGAGTGCCCTACCAAGGTGTGGTAGGCAATGATTAAAGCTTCCTTATTATTATTCCTGTGCAACCCATAGTTGTGAGCAGAGACAGATCACATAGGTGGCCATGCTGGTTCTACTGCTTAGAGGATATGGCCTAATCTGGGAAACAGCAGAGGGAAAGAGTTGCCACCTTTCTAATACCAAGCTCAAGCTGCATTCAGGGATATTCAGGGATGAACTTACTTGACACAGTTGGGAGAAAGCAACTGAGGTCACTTTTTTTGGTGATCTGTGAAAACAGAAGAGTTCCCCATCCGACTTTCTGCAAAACTTGGTGGTGACTGCTGAGAGGCAGGGAGATGGCTATATGATATTGGCAGATCAAAGTAACCTTGACTCTTTGACATTTCAGAGGTGTGAGAAGAGGTACTGGAAGGGTGGTAGAAAATGGCCTCCTAGAGTGACTAGAGAATCTATAGGCCTCCTTCTTTCACCTACCCACAGTATATGCACCCAGGGTCACCAAGGTCAAAGGATTACCTGCATTCTTCTTCACACCTTTTGATCATTTTTGCTCAAATTTGGTGAAGGTTATAGAAAAGGTTATGACAGGCATTTAAAGAGAGACAGGAAGAGCAAGAGGATAGAAAAGTATTTGAAGAGTTAGGGATAAGGGAGTAAGACTGAACTGCTCCCTAGTCTACCTGAAGAGCTTGTAAACCTATATATCATAACACATATAAAGCAACATTGCGTATAAATAAACTAAGAATAGAGGCTAAGCTGAGTAGTGCAGAAGAGATCAAAAGAAATGTAGTAACAAGATGTAGAGGTAGTCAGGGAAGCTTCCTGGGAGATGACTTTTCATCTTATTTTGAAGGAGTCCAGGAAGACAAAAAGAGGTGCCTGGGAAGGTTTCATGGTTAAGGGAAGACCTGAGGATAGCACCACTAACCAGTGTGTGTATGTATCTCCTTTTTTGTTCCTTTCTTCCTCCTTCCTCCTGTAGCTTGGAAGCTTGAAATCTGGCTGTGGCCATGGGAGACACAGTAGTGGAGCCTACCCCCTTGAAGCCAACTTCTGAGTCCACTCCTGGCCCAGCAGGGAGTAACGGGGGCTCTTTGCTAAGTGTCATCACGGAGGGGGTCGGGGAACTATCAGTGATTGACCCTGAGGTAGCCCAGAAGGCTTGCCAGGAGGTGCTGGAGAAAGTCAAGCTTTTGCATGGAGGCGTAGCCATCTCTAGCAGAAACTCCCCACTGGAGTTGGTCAATGGGGATGGTGTGGACAATGAGATCCGTTGCCTAGATGATCCACCTTCTCGGATCAGGGAGGAGGAAGACGAGATGGGAGCCACTGTGGCCGTAGGCACAGCCAAAGGAGCAAGAAGGCAGCGGCAGAATAACTCAGCTAAACAGTCATGGCTATTGAGGCTGTTTGAATCAAAACTATTTGACATCTCCATGGCCATGTCATACCTGTATAACTCTAAGGAGCCTGGAGTGCAAGCCTACATCGGCAACCGGCTTTTCTGCTTTCGCAATGAAGATGTGGACTTCTATCTGCCCCAGCTGCTTAACATGTATATCCACATGGATGAGGATGTGGGTGATGCCATTAAGCCCTACATAGTCCACCGCTGCCGCCAGAGCATTAACTTTTCTCTCCAGTGTGCCCTGTTGCTTGGGGCCTACTCTTCAGACATGCACATTTCCACTCAACGACACTCCCGTGGGACCAAGCTGCGGAAGCTGATCCTCTCAGATGAGTTAAAGCCAGCCCACCGAAAGAGGGAGCTGCCTTCCTTGAGCCCAGCCCCTGACACAGGACTGTCTCCCTCTAAAAGGACTCACCAGCGGTCTAAGTCAGATGCCACCGCCAGCATAAGTCTCAGCAGCAACCTGAAACGAACAGCCAGCAACCCTAAAGTGGAGAATGAGGATGAGGTAAAATTCTGGGGAGGGACAGAGAGGCAGGTAGCAGAGGGCCACACAGAGACAGGATGTCTTTATTATAGAGTTACTCTGTCCTTTCTGTCCTTCCCTCTGTTTCATTTCACTGATAAAAGCATGGAATGTTAGAATGGAAAAACACCTTAGAATTCATGTATTCCAACTGCCTCATTTTACAGAGGAAGCACTCAGAGCCAGAGATAAAGTGACTTGCCTCCAGTCATATGGCAGGGCTGATTTGCCCGCCTCTATTCAAAGTCATTTTTATTAAACCACTGCCATTCCATTAACTGCCTATTTAGAATTGTGCAGAGTTCTCCTCCCCTTGCCCCCGCATTTGAGACCCGGGATAGCTACCAGAGCCTTCGGAACAACTACCTTGGGAAAGGAGAAGGGGCTGCCATCTTTGTGCATGCTGGGGCAGGGGACATTAGAACATCAGCTTCATTCTCTGGCACTGTTCCTCATAGTCCTGCTCCCCTACCCCCTAGAGGTCTTGCCTTTTGTTGATCTAAGGGTAAAGTTCATTCATCCCTGAAGTATCCGCATAATGCCCTCTTGCCTGCGTGCCTTTGCAGGAAAGATTGCCTTGATGATTATTTCTCCCATATCATTTGGAAGAAGCACAAAGGGAAGAGAGAAGCAGTCTTAGTACGAAGCAAATCTAGTGCCTAGTCAAGGACCTGGAGGCTGGGAAGAAGAGGAAGCTACAGCAGCAGTTGGGGATATCCATTTAGGAAATAGCAGGGAGGAGACAAGCACATCAGTAGGTTATATCCCCCAGCCCCACTGCTCCCCATCTGGACAGATAGCTGGAAAAGTTCCCCAGTGTGCAACCAAGTGTTGGTGACCTGGTGTCCCAACCAGACAATAATGCCCCAGCCCTCCCCTCTGACTCACCACTGGCCGGGCTCCCATCCTGGCTGCCAGCCCAGCCTAGAAGAGAAGGGAGAAAAAAATGAGGAATTTACACTTGTTGGAAAATGTGTATTAGCTGTGGTCCTGGCCTCCTCTTCTTTGGGGGCCCATAATTCACCCACATTTTTGATACAACAAAACTTCTTTTAAAGTAGAGGGAGGTCACAGTGAGTAGGGAAGGGAAAAGGCAGAAGGGAGAGAAGACTACAGAACTGGGAGCTGGCTCTCTCTGGAAATTTGGTGTTCTGTTAAAGGATAGTTTATTAAATGTAAAACTAAAAGTACTAACATTTATTGAGTACTTACTGTGTGTCAGGCATCATGCCAGGTACTTTACATTTAATCCCCACAACAACCCTAAGAGGTGTATTTTACCAGTGGGGAAACTGAGACTTAGGAGAGATTAGACGATTTGTCCCAGTCCACAGCTGGTGCTTGTAATCATTCAGCTGAGCTGCTTTGGTGATGTCTCAACATCTACTTCCTCCAGTTCCCAACTTTCAAAGGCTACTTGGGGAAGAAAAGTCCAGGCTGTGACCATCTGAGCTTCCATATCCATGCACAGGCAAAGCCCAGGTTCTTAGAACTGGAATAGATCATTTTCACTTCTGGTTGAGTTTAGCAGGGAAGCCCAGGCTCATAAAGGGTGGTTGTTGCAGATCAAGAAGAGTCTTTCAGAGTCTGGCATGACTGAGGCCATGAAGAATTTGAGAGGTGTCTTGTCTTGGGGTCAAACCCCAAGATGAGTGTGAGCATTTGAGTGTAAGCAGGTGGGAGTGAGCTCCTTGGTCCCTCTTGTCAGGCTTGGCTTTTCTCTGTACCTGTTTTACAAACATCTTAGGACCAGAAAAGTTGAGGCTTCAAGGGCTTTCTTTATTTTACGCAGAGCCTTGCTCTCTCTTCTTCACATCTACCTCCTCCTCCCACCAGCACTGAGTCAGGAGTTCTGTGAATGCTTATATCATCTAGGGTGAGTTCTCTAGCTGCCATTCTCCTCAACCTGACTCCATATCTTATGTCATTAGATCCAGGAAAGGAAGGAGATACTGCATCCTTAGGCACTTTTAGGTTATCCGATGCTAGTAGAGACACCTGAATCCACTGTGGCTCCTCAAAATATGGGAGAGCAAGGATGAGGGAGAGAAGTGATAGACTATCAGTAGGTTTCTAAGCATTGGAAGTCTTTAACACAGGGATCTCTCCCAACCCCTTTGGCGTTTTGAAGATATGGCTATCAAGGCCTTTGTCCTCCAAATACCAAGGAAATTGGTTTTCTTTCTATTCCTGCCTGTCCCCTGTGGTGCAACATTTATTCACTCAGCAAAGTTATTAACCTCATACAGTGAGCACAGCTGTGTGTTCCAGGTAATGGAGGATGGAAGATGAAATGCCATCATTCTCTCTAGAAACTTTTAAGGTAAATGAAAACCCCCATTTCTAGGGAGCTGTTTATAACTGTGACTCTCTTAAAAAGTTATTGGCTGCCGGCTCAGCGCCTATAGCTCAACTGGCTAAGGCGCCAGCCACCTACACCTAAGGTGGCGGGTTCAAATCCCCAGCCCAGACCCGCCAAACAACAATGATGGCTGCAACCAAAAAATAGCCGGGTGTTGTGGCGGACACCTGTGGTCCCAGCTACTTGGGAGGCGGAGGCAGGAGACTCGCTTGAGCCCAGGAGTTGGAGGTTGCTGTGAGCTGTAATGCCACGGCACTCTACCCAGGGGGACAGCTTGAGGCTCTGTCTCAAAAAAAAAAAAAAAAAAGTTATTGGCTGCCATAAGCAGGAAGTACACTTTACTAAAATGAGGCATATGCCAGGCTTGGTGGCTCACACCTATAATCCCAGCACTTGGGAGGCCAAGGTGGGTGGATTGACTGAGCTCACAGGTTCGAGACCAGCCTGAGCCAGGGCGATACCTCATGTCCAAAAAAAAAAATAGCCAGGTATTGTGGCGGGCGCCTACAACTACTTGAGAGGCTAAGGCAAGAGAAATGCTTAAGCCCAGGAGTTTGAGATTGCTGTGAGCTATGATGCTACAGCACTCTACCGGGGTGACAAAGTGAGACTTTGTCTCAAAAAATAAAAAATAATGGGCGGCGCCTATGGCTCAAAGGGGTAGGGTGCCTGTCCCATATGCTGGAGGTAGCGGGTTCAAACCCAGCCCTGGCCAAAAACTGCAAAAAAAAATAAGAAATAAAAAATTAAAAATAAAATTAATTAAAAATAAAATTAAAAAAAATAAAAAATTAACTGCAAATAAAAAATAATAATAAATAAGATAAATTAATAAAATCATACACATAATTTTCTAGGCCTAAGCAGAGATACTATAGAAGGCGAACCTCTAGGAGGGGCCCTGACACTCTTCTCCCAATCTATTGCCTTTTGGGTTCTGAGTTTAATCCCTATATTTCTACCACTGGTAGAAGAGCACCCTCAGAGTATGAGGTGAGGACTTAAGAGGAAGAGGACCAGGGGCTGCTTACACAGTTCTCCTCCTGCCTGGGATCTCCCTGCAGAGCCCTCTTCTACCCAGATCTCACCGAGGGTTCTATTTCTTTCTATGAGGAATCATTTACACACACAGCCCCCATCTCAGAGGGCTCTAGTACTGATTTCTCCCATCTCCCACCATTGTCCTGTGAAGTGTGCCTTTTCAAAGCAATTTTATCAGCCTGGCCAGGGAGTGCTGAACTCTGCTCAGGCAGTTTTTCCCATTTGTAACCAAATGATAAATATTTGCACATAGAGTGAGGGTGCAGAAAGTAGAGAGTGAATTTAGGTACTACCTTGTCCCCACACCCTGCCCCATGTAATGACACTCTCAGTGGATCAGCTTTGTCTTTTTAGGATGGCAACCTTTGTACAGAGATAATCAGCTGTGTGTCACTGAAGCCCAAGTGGGCCTTCCAGCCTCATGTGGTGTGATGTCAGCTTCTTGGCCTTGGCTGTACTTCTTGGAGCTGACTCAGTGAGTGACTCTAGCCCAGGGAGTAGGAGGAGAGGAGCAGGTCATGATGTACTGCTCTTCCTCCAAGGCTGTTAGTGAGTCAGATGGGACCTGTGTGAGAGAGAATTAGCAAAAGCATTGCCTCATGGAGCCCTGGTCCTGCTGTTCCTTTCCCAACCAGCTCATGGGTAAAAATTGAACCACTAAGTCAAAATATACTCTGGCATCCTTTCTGCCTTAATTCTCCATCCCACTTCTTCCTAGGATGGAATAGTTGCCTTAGGGGAGTGTTACCCAGTGTGGCTTCTCAAAGCACTCTTCTCCCTGTGTTCCTTAAGGAAGGATCTGCCTGTAGAACCATGGAATTGAATAAGTGGACATTTGAAATACTGGTTCCTGAGTATAAGAGGCTGCCTTCCTGCCCTGGGAGCTCTCACAACTGTCTCTGAAGTCCAGGCCCCCAAATCCTGCTTGTGTGTGCACACATGCTGCCCTTGCTCCCTGCCATGGTAGATACTGCTGGGAAATAATCACCTGCGCATGAGCCCTGCTGCAGAGCTACATAAATTTGACCACAGTCTCTTTCCTCTGTCTTGCGCAGACACCGGAAAGACACAGGAATGGGGTGATATTTAGATAAATCCTCTGGCCTGCGACAGCTGCTGTCCAGCTAGTCACTGTTCTCAGATGGATTTAGCTAGGATCCAAATTTATGTCAAAAAATTGTAATATATTGATGATTTTGCCTGTGCACTTCAGCCTGGGTGACAGAGCAAGACCTTATCTCCAGAAAAAAAAATTGTAGTATAGAATGGCCATAAAGTTTCAGTGCAATTTAAAATAGTTTAACATAGTAAACAGCACACAAACTTTACGTTCACCCTATATGTTAAGTGTCATGTGGCATAGCCTGATAGGAAGCCTAAGGGGAGTTGATAGATATGAGATTGATTTCTCCTTTATTCCTATCAGCATCCAGCCCAGAGATTGCAGGTTCATAGATCTGGGATGCCCTTTGTCACACAGGTTCAAGGTTGAGATGGGCACAGTGAGGCTGATAAGAGAAGAAGTACACCTGCTACTGAGAGTACCAAGAAGCTGTAGGAACATGGGGTTTCTAATATGGGGATTATGCAGCTTGTTAAATTCAGTCCCTTTGTGGTGGTCCTCATGTAAGAGGATCTAGTTGAGAATGTGGGTGAGTGAAGAGAAAGCAGGGAAGCTTGGCAGTGCGGAGCTACTGCCCAGCGGACCCAGCCTTAGGGTTTTATCCTAGAAGGAAGATTCATTCAAGTGATATTAGAAGGGAATTAAAGTGAGAGGCAGAGTATTTTGTCTCTTCAACCCTTCTAATCTCGAGGTCTGAGCTGGCCTTCCACCATCTCCCACAAGTGTCTAGCAAGTGGCATTTCTGGGTTGACTTTCTTATATTAAAGCAGAAAGGTAGAGCTTCGCAAGATAAGCAGTTATGATCTAAATTGGAGCTAAATTCTTTGCCTTTCTCTCTCTCCCCTCCCTCCCTGCTCCCTTCTCCTCCCCTTGCCCTCTGGCCCTTTCCCAGGAGCTCTCCTCCAGCACCGAGAGTATTGATAATTCATTCAGTTCCGTAAGTGGGGCCAGGCTGGGGCTGGGTGGCAGGCTCCCCCTATGGCTGCATTTCCTCTCCGTCCCCAGATCTTCTGAGCCCCGCAAGCCAAGGCTGAAGTTAAAAGGCCTCTTTTTCTCCCTGGGAGATCAGCTCTTCCCTCCCAGGCTTCCCAGATCTGAAGGAGTCCCCTGACTTCCTCCATTCCCTGCTCAGTACTTAGGGATACTTAGACAGTTGGGATGCAGTGCTACTACTCAGCCCTCAGCTCCTGGGTCTCTGGAGCATGCAGCTGGGAGAGAGGTAGAGTTCACTCCTGAATTGGAGCCAAGAACTGCCTGGCAGAAACCCCCAGGATCCTGTTTCTCCCACCCAAGACTCTTTCCTTATGGCTTCTGCCATCAGATTATCCAGTATTTATTTAGAGTCTTCTAAATGATAGGCCCTGTACTGGTGAGCTGACTCCAAAAGCAAACAGGACTTCCTCTGCCTGAAGGGAAGTTTTGCCTCCCCACAACTGGTTTTCTTTTTTAACTTCAACCTCATTGTTTCCAGGTGTGAGTTCTCCCCTTTTCCTAGGTCACTGCCCAGGATGTTCCTTAATCCCCCATCCTCCTTCCTTGTTCCCTCTGGACTAACTTCTGACCCTCTGTCCCACAGAGTTTAGGCCCTTGTTGCTGGGTAAAGACGTGAGAGGAAATGCAGGACACTCTGGGAGTTTGGATGACTTTTTACATTTTATTTTTGATTTATCTATCTAATAAGTTTCCTATGTTCCGTGCTAATCCTCTTTCAATCATGATTCCTATCTCCTCCTGTGTCACAAGGGCCTCTTCCTTGAGGCCTGGGATCACATTTCCAGCATACTCAATTAACCTAGGGGCCCCTAGGCCAAATGATAATTTGAGGATGAAAAGGAATTTTGTCTTTTCTAATCTGAAATGAATAGGAATTGGTTGGGGTGGATGGTCCTTGAGACAGTGACCATTTGCCACCTGAGTAGATGGATTGCAGCGGTTCTCAAACTGTGGGTTGCGACCCCTTTGTAACAATGAAAATACATCCCAGTGTTAAGAAGGTTGAGAACCCCTGGATTAGGGAATCAAGATGAAGGAAGAAGTGAGTCTTCAAATTTCCTTTTCTTTCTCTTTTTCTATTAGGCCCTCAGGTTAGTTCCAAGGACCTTAGAAGTGCCCAATTCTATTGTTTTCCTTTATCTGTTTTCAGCCCTGTCCCCTGACACATTCCTGCCTGATTTAGATAGCCCTATGTCATTACTGGTGTGGCACCTCAAGCTACCTTACATGGGCTAGAGGCTGAGAGATGAGCTTTTCCTTTGAAACCTGGTTCTGTTGCACAAGAAGAGGCGGACCTTGGCTCAGCACTGTAGCACAGTGGTTCATGCACCAGGCACATGCACTAAGGCTGGTGGGTTCGAACCCAGCCCCAGCCAGCTAAACAACAAAAAAATGACAACTGCAACAACAACAACAAAAATAGTCTGGCATTGTGGCGGGTGCCTGTAGTCCCAGCTACTTAGGAGGCTGAGGCAAGAGAATCGCTTAAGCCCAAGAGTTTGAAGTTGCTGTGAGCTGTGACACCACCGCACTATACCAAGGGCGACATAAATTCTGTTAAAAAAAGAGAGAGAGGTACCTAGTACTGCCTGGTTTTGTTTTGTTTTGTTTTTTGAGACAGAGCCTCAAGCTGTCCCCTTGGGTAGAGTGCCATGGCATCACGCTCACAGCAACCTCCAATTCCTGGGCTCAAGCGAGTCTCCTGCCTCAGCCTCCCAAGTAGCTGGGACTACAGGCGCCCGCCACAACACCTGGCCATTTTTTGGTTGCAGCCATTATTGTTTGGCAGGCCCGGGCTGGGGATTCGAACCCACCACCTTAGGTGTATGTGGCTGGCGCCTTAGCCGCTTGAGCCACAGGCGCCGAGCCATACTGCCTGGTTTTTAAAAGAAGCTCTTTTGTTTGTGATGGGAGGAAGTGAGGGTAGAAATTTTCAATCAGGAAACTAAGCAAGGCACACACACAGAAATGGGGAGAAAAGCCTAATGAGTGAAATGCTTCTATAAAAGAAGGAGATAACTGTTTTTATCTAGCAGAAGAGACACAGATGGAGAGTTGAGGGGAGGGAAGGGCTATCTGGATAAAATGCCCCTTATAATAACAGGACCCAACTGTGAAAAGAGCTCTTCTCAGGTCTAGCCAAGTCTGTCTTTCTCCCCACCCCCGCCCTACTCCCCAGACTGATTTTGCCCTTTCTGGGGATGACTAAAGTGCTCAGCATGAGGAGCCAAACTCAGAGCAGGGACCTAATACGGGAGCCTAGTTGCTGAGAGGTAGGAGAGGAGGACCCAAGGAGGAATCACTAGAAGAGACAGGCCTTCAGGACTATCATCAGCGTCTAAAAAAGGAGCTTTCACTTTTTTCACCCACTTACCACTACCTCTCTCCCTCCATCTGCCTTTTTTCTTCTTGATTGTTTTCTCATTAGTACAAAGTCTGCTCATCCTCATCCCATCCCTGCATGTGAATCTTCTTGTAAGAGACTATGGGATTGATGGGAATACCATGGAAGCAACAGAAATAATTAAGTCAAGAGCACCTCCTTCTTTGGGAGGGGGACTGTTAACTTGGAGCTCCCATCCCCAGCCTTGTGGGCATTGGCAGAGCCCCATGGCAGAGATCCAGATGAGCAGAGGGATATCCCTGTTCTTGAGATGGCTCAAAACTTCAATTGTAAACAGTGATGCTCTCTGGGGCCCTCCAGATGTCCCTCTGCCTATTCTGAAGCCTTGGGATAGTCCTTAAGGAACTCAAGTCCAGAGGAAGAGGGATATGTTCCATTTAACCTGCACTCATGGTCCCCCCCTTCCCCTCAAGAAATAGCCTGTGGGGTGGCACCTGTGGCTCAAAGGAGTAGGCCCCATATACCAGAGGTGGTGGGTTCAAACCCAGCCCTGGCAAAAAAAAAAGAAATAGCCTGTGGAGAAGGAATGTGCTGGCTGTTCTCAATTCACACTGCCAGGGATGGGTTGGGGACTCCTCCTGGGGCCAAAAGGTAGCTTCTTTCCTGTAGTTCTCCAGACACTGATGCCCTTGGCCTTATTGGCCAAGAGTGATTAAGTGGGTGGACCACTTTTTTCTATGGTTTCTTCACTATCTTTTGTTTTATCCTAATCCTCTGTAGCCTGTTCGACTGGCTCCTGAGCGAGAATTCATCAAATCCCTGATGGCGATTGGCAAGCGGCTGGCCACGCTCCCCACCAAAGAGCAGAAAACACAGCGGCTGATCTCGGAGCTTTCTTTGCTCAACCATAAGCTCCCTGCCCGAGTTTGGCTTCCTACTGCTGGCTTTGACCACCACGTGGTTCGTGTACCTCACACACAGGCTGTTGTCCTCAACTCCAAAGACAAGGTAGGTGGGCTGTCGCCCAAACCGTACCTCTAACATGACTCTGCTCCCATGATTGTCCAGGGTTTGTGTGTATGCCCAGGGATGTCCTCACAAAGTCCTAGACTCTCTTCACAGTTCATGATGAGAGTGTCAACCATGACTATATCTCAGTGTCATTGTCACTTTGAGAGCCCTGGTGTCCCCCTTCTTGGGCTTTTGAGGGAGTGGTATAGAGATGGGTTTTAACTGTGGTACCTAGGCTGGCCTCAAAACTCCTGGATTCAAGTGATCCCTTCTGAGAAGCTGCGAGTATAGGCGTGGGCCACTGCACCCAGCATGGGCTTTGTTTTTCTGAACTGACACCAAAGAAGCCTAGTCTTTTCAGCTTGCCTCTTGCTGT